AGGATATAATTAAAGAAATAAGAGTTGATGTTCCTTTTGGAATAATCCACCAATTTCTTTAAATGAAACACTATCTACAGATTTGCATCGAAGCGTTTCTTATGATAGTGATTTTAATCACTGTCAGATATCATCTATACTTATTTCATCTATGCCACGTCTATACTGTGCCTCGACCCCACTGTGCTACCGTTTTTTCTTTTCAAAAACTTTTGAAGTAATGTTATTTTAATTTATATTATATTTGAATTAATTTATAATTTTTTTTGTATCGTTTACGATCTTGAACACGCATGGTTTGCTGAAAATAGCCAATTTTATTATCTTATTACACAAAAGTGACAGAACGAATTTTTTTCAAATTACTACATAACTCATAGTACTTTTTTTTTGGCAATTAAAATATCTAGAGAAAATTTGATGATGGAGAAATATTTTAATACCACTTATAGTTCAAAATTTATAATTTACGTATTATTGAAAATTCACAAACTACGTAATTTTCAAAATTTAATTTTAATTTTTTGTATTTATTCTGCGTATTTGAATAAGAAGTTATAGTCTCTTGAACATAAGGTGTTTTTTATTATAAAAACTGTGCTATCTGGTAAAACAACATTAAAAAAAAAATATATATTGACAACGAAAATATGTTATTTTTGTTTTCAATGACCTTCAAGAAGTGTATTATAAAAATTTAAAACATTTCTGAACTATATCCGTACACAAATTATTTGATTTTTCATGAAATGACCCGATATTATGAATTTGTGTATGAATAAATTCTAACATATTTTGTACTTTTAAATGTATTGTGTGAGGTATAGTTAATCAAACATGTTTTTATAATAATAGAAACATTTACTAATAATAAGGTTTTAATTATATTTTAATATAATATTAAAACGCCAATAATTTTCCCAGAGTCTGGTGACCGAGTACTTTCGTTGAAAAAAAAAATTTTGAAAATCCGAGCACGCTAAGTAATTTTCCCAGAAAAGCGTTTTTTTCCTTGTTCTATTATTTAATAAGATATAGTATAATTATATTCTAATTATACAGGATAGTTCTTTTAATACTAGCCACTCGATTTCTCTTAAAATAATAAATATTTTAATAAAATTATATCGTTTATTCTTAATTTTTATTTTATTAATTAATTTTTAGCATCATTCTTTATAACTCTTAGGGGTTTCAACTTAATTTTTTCAAACGTCAACTTTCATATTTAATTTGCATATAAAATAGTAATTGATCTAATTATGAAAATTACTAGATGATAACAACTTTTGGACTAACACTTGTTGAGTAATGAGTTACTTGTTAGACTAATGTTTAATGATAAATACTGTTATACCCTCGCCTCGAGTCCAGTTTATATTATAAAATGGTGATAATTAAAAATAATTTTATATCAGGTATAATCGAGTGGATAGCGTTAAAAGAATCATTATGTACAACAATTTAAACTGAATAGTAGCAATTTGCGTGTAATTAGTACATTGTGTTTGTGTATTGTGATTAATACTATTCGAATTTCCGGTACGAGTATTAGGTTTTTGCTGGTTTAGTGTGACACGGTAGGAAACTTGAATCTCTTACATGCGCATGGCTAATAACACTCGACCCCCTGTTTGTGTCTTACTTGGAAAATAAGAAGAACATTAAAAATGTTTATAGGGAAGATTTTCTATTTTTGAACGTCACCCTCATGACGTTTGAGTGTCCAGTGACCGGAAACAGTTACACCAGGTTTACATTTGTCGTATTTTTTTTTAACTTTACTCGTTAGTATTTCAACTCCAGAGTCTTTTTAGGCTATTCAAACCAATGAAAGTATAAAATGGTGTCATCTACTTTGCAATTAACGCAAAAAAGGCTGGATGATTCCAGATGTATTTTCTGTTGTGACACTCAAACCTTTTTTTTTTTTTAATTTAGTATATTGACCAAAAACTATAATTGTGTTTTATAGTAAGTTATCACATCATTATTATTACTGTTATTTAATATTCGTGTTCGTTCGACGGTTAAACGATTGCGTCCTGTGCAGTTTATATACAAACGCTTGTACACACACACACATACCATGCAATTAATTATACATCAATTACCGGCGTGTATTGATGCACTGCTGATGCTTAAATTATACCCTTGGAATCGGTAGTTTTCATTCACGTGCTAATTAACCAGCAAAAGTATTTATTTACTATTTTATAATATGTTGTTACCGTACTCCCTGAGGGCGACGATAAACCACTTTATCTTGAACACACTGCTAGTACAAAGTAATTTTTATAATATATACAATTCACTTGTATTCTTTATGATCTCTAGTTGTTAGCAATTAATGGCAATTATCAACCGTTGAATTGCGATTCTGATCTTTGCAGATAGCACTGGAGTTTCACTTATTAAAAGTTTTCTCATGAAAGTATACTTGAAAAATTTAATTCCTAACAAACTTTATCGACTTCTCGATATTATGTAGGTATTTTTTTAATTATGAAAACATAAATCTCGTCATTAACAATTTATTTAGTTAAAACTGTTAAATACAAAAAAAATCCTCAAATTAACTTGAGAATTTTTTTTTAACACTATTATGTTCTTTAAACTCAATTCGCAAAAAATATTTTTGAATAAACAAAGAATAATTAAGGATAACTTTCCAAATAACAAAGTAAAATTATTTTCATACGGCTAACATTTTATATGAGCTTGTCATAAAAAGTTATCTGTTTTTAATGAGTTCAATATTTTGCTGAAGTTTGAATAAAAGTTTTTAATAAACTAAATGTTGTATAAATATTTCAATAAATAAATTTAAAATTATTTAAAGTAGTTATATATGTTAAAATGTATTAAAAGGTATAAAATTTATTTATATTTTAATACAATTCGATAATTATATTAATAATAAAATATATTTATTAGAATACACAGGTAATGTGCGTGTATATCAATTTAATAATTATTTATTTTATTTATATAAATATATAATATTTATTATATTATTAAAATTTAATAATATTCATCTCATATTCACTCAAGTATTACGTTAAGTCACTGTACTGCACATATTGAACAATTTTTTTAATTGAAGTGTTTGTCTCGTCGTCCATTGCCAATTTGAATGTTTCAATATAAATAGAACAGTAGGTTAATGATCACATGATATTTAACAAACTTCAAATCTTAGTTTTCAAAGTGTTTTTTTCTTTAAAATGTTACAATGAATATTAACAGTGAATTTTTGAATGACAGGCTTTGTAATAGATTATGCATTGTAAAAAGTTTTGTTCTTCAGTAAAATATAACAGCGTAAAAATACATTTAGTGCAATTTAATTTAGATAAGTATCAGTTTCATGCTCTATTTATTAAACTGATAGATTTATCTTACCTGTTTTTCACAATGTAATTGAATAATTCAATTGAATTATTTGCAATAATGGTAATTTTTATCTTAAATACTGCATTTACAGTGTCATTATTTTAAACAATCAAAAAAGTGATACTTTAAATTTACATTCGGAATCGACCTAATAAAAATTTTGTCATTAATTTTTATTTGATCCATGAAATTGATAATCTTAAAGAAAGATAACGTCATATACATGAAGCTAACATTGAAAACCTGATAACTTTTTTACAAACAGTATTCCAACACCACTTTAAAAAAATACTTTTTTTATGGTTGATAACGCATTGCAGATAACTGTTAGGCATTTCAGTACACCATAACTTAAACGTGTTGTGTACCCGTTAAATGGACAGCTCATTATGAGAATTATATTACAAAACACAGAGCACCGACACTATCAGTGGACCGAAACTCAATTACGCATACGTTTATATTATCTACATAATATCTACTGTTGTTGTTTTTATTAGATTTATGAGTTTGTTAATATATTGTAAAATTTCAACGGGTAGGTTTGGTTCGTTTCCCTCCGGAAACCCTTCTGCTTCTAAAAAAAAAAAAAAAACAATACATGTAATAAATACCCTACGGCAAATAACAATTAGTATTTTGTCGCGTGTTGGTTTTTTTGTTCTTGTTCGCGCCTCTATACTACCGAAGTACTGCTCAGGTGGCTCGTGCGATCCTCGCCCGTTTTTTCCGTCCGGCGACAACAATTGAACGGAACACAAACCGCATACGTTGACTTTTATGCTCAAGATGTTAGACATACACACACACACCGATACGAGATAATGAATGCGATTTTTGAACAGAACATTATTTGAATGTTTTTGTTTTAAACGCGTTTTCCAGTTTTATGGTGTGACTTGGCGGAACGAGTGTAACACGTGTTGACAATTTACAAGTCAAAAGCACAGGTATTATATTATTGTTGCTATTATAGAGGTGGTAGTTACCCGTCGATTGTCCTTGTCTGATGGATCCGAACGTCGACGACACGCGCAAGAAATAAACGACCGGTTGTTGGTAATGTTACTAGCTGCGCTTGTTGTGACAAACCAAACGTTTAGCGGTTGGGTTTCCTGTCTTGTTTTAACAGGTCAGACCAATATACGTGTGACAAGAACTCGTGAAAACGTCCTTAGAGACCCGATAATAAATCCAATACAGTAATTAATAACAACGCTACTTGTCCACTTTGATAAACAATAGACAAATAAATCAACGAGTGGCGTTAGCCAATCCTCGACCCATTTATTATTGTTATTACATGCATAGCGCAAAATCGATAGCACTGGTACAGATGGAAATCGGCTATCTCTTGCCGCCCACAGAAGTTAACCTATCGACATACAATTGGAAGCTTTCATACGCACTCACTCCGCATTACTATTCTATAATAACTTACCAGCGTAATGTTGTTATTATTTATTTGATACCTTTAGGCAACTATTGTATAGATACTTAGAGATCCATTTGTTTTGAATCAAACAATTTACCGCAGTGACATGGTTGCCGAGAGTTCGTGCTTTGCCGCATGGGAAATTGTCTCGATGGAGTAAACATAAAGAATACCGTAATAGTAATTATTACTACACCGACATACTCCGTATTAGATGGTTATTATTGATGGGTATCTCAATGAACTCGAGTGTAAGCATACTAGGGTATAAAAATTGTTCAATCACGTGTGGGTTTTAGATAGTTTACAAAGTACTTCGTAGCAAAAGCGTTCATGCAAAGTTCTTTTACCCAGCACGCATTTAGGAAATCCTAATGCGAAATCAGATAAACAATTGCTCGGCAGTCAATGAACACTTGGCTTTGAGTTAAGAACTTGCTGCGGTTCTTAACCTCATAGTCGACCATACTGAGCGTTAAACCGTGCAAATTATAATATTATTTGAAGGTTGGCTGAGTTTTCGGTGTAGTCATGATACAATTTATGTCACATTTGGCCGAAGACGAGCGGAATGTGTAAGCACACGACAACAGTTGGCATCAGCGCATCGCTTCCAGTTCGTCGTGTTGAAGAAGAATGTATCGGGCAAAGGAACACTGCTGTGGTCACTGCTGCTTGCTAGAAATAATAAGAAAACATCTCGTAGCTCACGCAGTGTGTGGTTATTTTTCACCGTTGTTCGGTCCATACGTGAAGAAGAGCCGTACCAGATTGGTCTAGAAGAACACTATATAAGTAAAACTACCGTGTCATCAATCGCGTATACGCACACATAGAAAAGAACAGAACAAAGGTGACCAATGTTACGACACGGGCTGAATTCGTGACTGTTTCAGAGATTATCGGGGTCTTCCGTGTTGCACATGATCGCGTGGGAGCTGCTTCGGTCGTCGTACAGAGATGTTGCAGGTGTATGAGTTGGCCGTGCGATTTTTTTTTCTTTCTTGTCCATAATACTCCTCTTGCAATAATCGCGACCGCATTGTAAATGCGGTGCAAAAGTGTACGGAGAAATTGAGCGTTGTACACAAAATGTTACACACAACCTCACGGCGCGTAGCGATTCAAAAAGCACAATAGATCAAAATATTTTCTACACATTATACTCCAGTCATAATAATAGTTACGATTCTATAATGGTAATATCTGGTTTAGTAATATCACAAATGTTGTTATGCGCATGCGAGTCTGTGTTATGACTACGAACGATGATCGTCCGGAGAGAGCCTCGGACTGTAGAAAGCGTTCGTATTGTAATAATCGTATTTTGTCTGACGAGATCACGAAACTCGGTGCAATCAAAAGCTTTGAATAGATATAATTGGTGTACACATTGTGCGCTTGGTTGTCGCGTAGGATTTCGGATAGAAAGAACAACTTCTTCGCACCGGTAGGATACTCTTGTGAACGTGTACATTACTCTTTAGCACAGTCTGAGTTATAATAGAGTTCATGTAGTCTGCTTTTTTAGGAAAAATAGCATCCGCGTTATTTATTAGATTTGCGTAACCCAACCACAATGAAGTGATACTGTCATCGACATTAATACGACCGTACGTCGGTTGAGATCGGTATTTATTTATAGAGCGTTTGTCAGCCGTACTAAGTTCCCACGGCCTTAATAATTATTACGTTATCGACCATATGATACGGTAGACAAGAAGGGCACACGCACTAATGGTATATAGCCATTGTTGTAATCGTTGACCGCTAGAAAGCTCGTTGCACCGATGGGTCACGGCTGTGGAGAGAAGTTGGTGGTGGTGGTCATTAACGGCGTGCACACGACGGACACAGGTGATTGATGAATCGAGTTAACGCAATTAGCCGCTACGTTGACCAACGTCTCGACGTTTCAATGGAACGTTTTCACCTTTACCGCAATGTTGGTGTATGGGAGTGTGTTTAACAAGAGCCCATACGTGACCAGTTCAGTCCGATGATGACACCACACGTTAACTCGAGAGACGTTTGAATGAGCAGAAACATATAACCTCATTTAGTGGCCTAAAAGAAAATAATATTATGAAAGAATAGAGAAGACACGTGCAGACATTTTTTTTTACTTTCAAGTGTCAAATGTTGTATCATCGGATTAACTAAAATATTAATTATTTTTAGATGTATTTTCCATGTTAAAAATTATAATTCTTTTATTTACCAAACAAATATTTATTAGAAATATAATTCACTTGAATATTTATGTGAATGATTCTACGTTTTCATAATATTATCTGCAAGAAACTTGAAGCTTTGCTTAAAATTTATTCCAAATTAACACTGCATTCATTTTATTTTACATACCAACAATGAGTTTTATATTAAAGTGATAAATTAATATGAAACTCATAATGACTCAACATGTGTTATTTACATAAAGTGTACTTTAAGTGACATCAATGGTTTTTTATGTCTCAAAGTACAGTTTTAAAAAGCGGTTTTAACTTGGTGTTTTCGTAAAATAGTAATATTTAAGAATAAAATTAATAACTGATTTACTTTATTAAATAAAATAATATTATATGATATTATTTATTGCCATTATATTAATATACAGAGAATATTAAAATAATAATTCACAAATGGAAGTAACAAACTGTAATTTTTTAGAAAAATAAGAACAATATGAATTGAGATCAAGACTATAGTCTTGATTTAATATAAGTATAATTATTTTAAATTAATAAAATCTGTGCATAGTTTGCATTTGTTATTTTAATTTATTCACATTCATAATTTATTTTATATTCTTTTTGAATTTTATCATTGAGATGTATAATAGCTTTACTTAGATCAACCTTTGATAATTTCCCCGCAGATATTATTTAACCGTTAGTTTAACTTCATCACGTAGTGAAACGAACGTTTCTCAAAATAATAAATGTAAATCTTTACTATAAAGCAAAAAAAATGTAGAGTACCTATTGTTTTTACCTAATAAATGTTTATACAATAATTCCGTTCATTTCAATTTTCTGTGATCTCGTCCAATCTCCAAGTTGATTTAAGTTTTAAAAATAAAAATGTGTGAATAAAGCACAGCATTATTTAAATTGACCACTATGTTTGTAGGCAGATTATAATATTTAATTAAAAACAAATATTTTATAGCTCAACAAAACATTATGGTTTTGTAAAAGGCTTGAAATTCTGTATCACTTAGTATTTTTTTTTTATTTCTGCAAGAGTCTTCAATGATTTTTTATGTTCATCGCCATATTCTAATTTATTGTTGCATAAAAATTCATAGTTTAGAGGTAGTTGGTACTCATAAGTTTAAATAGAAATAGGTTGCATATTACTGAAATACTAAAAATACAAAAAAAAGTATTTTTTTATTAATAATTTTTAGCGAGAAGTAAATTGATGTTAATCATACATAAAATATTATAGTTTTTACAAATTAAAAGTATTTATAAAAGTATTAAAATATTTTATTCCTTTTTTATAAAATAAAATTATACCAAATTAAAAAAAAAAGGAACGAAAATAAAATGTCTTATTTTTTTATAGAGTACATAGTTTTTAATTATTAGGTGATGTCTTACCATATTTTTTGCAAGTCGATTTTCAGTTATTTGTGTACATTTCTAATGATCATAAGTTATCATTTAGTTATAACTGACATAATTGTTGATAGAGTGGGGAGCTTTGGAAGAAAAAAAAATCGAAAATCTGAAATTTTGTAGACTTTTTTACTATGTTTTCCATTATGAAATTGTAGCTACGCTACTGTAGTAATTAACCTATTTTAGTACCCGTCATCGGTTAATTTTAACTGCATTGGAGTATATATTGTAGACACACCTTTGGTTTACTTCAAACATAAAAACTAAATCGATATGTTTTTTAATAGTTGATAAATTATAAAGCAATTTGAATTACCATCAACATCTAATTTACAATACATAACATACAATTAAAGTTTCAATTTTATATAATTAAAAACTTAGATTTTTTAAAATTTAAACAAATGCACAAATTTTCTAAGAATTATTATTTCTAATTTGTCAGAGTTAATATTACAGCAAAAATTATTTACCTTTTATTTTTGTTTGTATTACTTACACAATGTTTTAAAACATACTAACATAAAAATTAATATCAGAAATAAATAATAAAAAATAAATGTAAGCTTTCTGCTTATTTCTAAGGAAATATGAACTTAAAAAACTAAAGCTACTTTAGACATTTTACGATCGTGTAGCTATATCATGTTAATATTTTACAAAACAAATTAAATCAACGATGAATATTATGTTTATATAATTTATAAATTATTTAACTCGAGGCGTTCATTTCGTTGATCGTTAAAGACATTATTTGTTTATAAATTTGAGCAGAAATAAATCAATTGGATTTTTCTTCCCATACCATGAAACCCTAAGCCGACATGCCGGAATTAAAATCCGTCGCTCAATCTAAACCAGTTTGTTCTGTTGAAAAAAAAAACATATTATTCTATTGACAGAACATATTGTATAATAATAATAAATGTATTATTCACGGTTGATTTGTCTCACGGGTACCCATAAATGGGTGTCTACAGACGTGTTCTTTGGTGTAAGTAATATCGATACATACGTAGATAGGTATATCATTGTCGTTAACAGCGTGTACTCTCATTAACACTAAGTAAACACAGTTAATAAAACAATTGAACTACTTGATATCGAATATGCGAGTTTTGTAATATAAATTGGGGGGGAATTAGTACAATTTTTATGACGGACAAAACTTTTTAGATGAGCTATTTCATTATTATACGAAGTTCCATCAGTTGAAATTGGTTTTTCTGTTTAAATTTCAATCTCTATCATGTAATTATATAATAAGAAGGTAAATTTGGTGAGCATAGCTGAATTTAAAGCTCCAATTTCACCTTCCGGGCAAAGTAGTTCATCACAGTACAGGATTTTACTGTATATAGCGTAAGAATACTTTCTATGAAATTACAATGCGTTCTATTCCTATACAGAGCTGTAAGCTCTTCTTGAAGAACGTTATTTCTAATGACATCGATTTATATTACAAGCCCCAGTACAATTCACCTTAAAGCTAGGCTTTCTCGTGATTTGATATAGCTGTGTCTGCGGCTCAATAAGCAACAGAATATCTTCAATTCAGTTTAATATGACAATAAAAAAAAAAACGCAAAGGGATTTGAGTTGCAAATTTTATTTTGATTTAAATTTGAGAAACGTTGGGTTCTAACGGACTTGGCCGAATTAATGAGAAAAGCGAAGGTTTAAGCGAATTATATTCTCTGGCTGTTATTTCCTTCGATTGCACGTTCAGTCTTCCTGCAGTGATGACCTTCGCGGTAGCTACTGCTGGCACCACTGACCCAGCTCGGCGTGACACACGATACTCGCCACAGGTCTGGACCAAAGGGCACACACGACCAGCAAGTCCGGTAGCGAAAAAGCGTGCGTTGTCACCCGTCACCGCCCAAATGACAAACATAATATTATTTTTTCTACTGCATACACAATAATAATAACAATAACACAGCGCAATCGCCACCAGAATCCAAATACTGTGTGCCTGCCATACCGTGTCCAGTAGATTTCTCGGAGATCCTATATGTTCTATGGTCATGAGGCATGACAGCATAGTAATGGCTTATGTAGCGGGCAGCTGATGGGTCCATCAATGAATAAGAGAACATGACGAGACGTTTTTTTGCGACGGCAACTACCCATTGTCATATAGCTCATCGACAAAACGTCTTGGACCCCGATGATCGATCGTTTTCGTAACGGTTTTTATTGCCTGTGCAGTCTTTTTTTCCTCGCGAAAATTTTGAATTCGTACGGATAACTAACCGAGGAAAAAGCATTCTGCTAATCGGTCGTGAAATTTTCAAACGAGCCGATTTTACCTCTCACAGACTTCTTCTATGGCAATATAGTGTAAGCGGTCTGCTTCTCATACATTTGGAACTAATCACTTAAACACTAATTGACTAAATAGCTAAAGATTTTATTTCGGATACAAAACATTATCAAACTAATACAATTAATTTTTTTTAGTGTCTATAGTGTCTATAAATGGAGAACATATTTTGCTATTATTATTTAAATAGTTTTTTTTATTTGTTAAATTCACTAGCAGTATTATAATAAAATAATTTTCTCGATCTTTTTCATTTTTTATAGAATCTTTTTTGAAATAATATTAACAATGATCTAATGTAAGGTATATAATGAGTAGGCGTTCCTACTCAATGAAGGGTAAAAATAATGTCAAAAATCACGTTAAAAAGTACATTTTATATGATATACATGTTACCCTAGTCAAAACGTTTACCAACCCTAAAATTATGATGTCAAATAACACTAAAAATTCGATGTTATAATAATTGGTTTTAAGCTGTTGGCATACACAAGTCATAGAGTTCTACATAAATTCGATTAACTATATAAATATAGTAAATAAAAATCATGAATAATACATTAATAAAAACATTTCAATTGTCAAACAACTAGAAAAGAATATTAACCGTCAAAAAAATTACTGTTTGCGATTCAATATTGTAAAATTTTAGTCAAATGATTTAAGAAAATAACATTACATGATTATACCTTTAAGACTGATTTTACTGTATATTACTATTATTATTATTTATGTTTCGCGGTGAAAGATCTATATAAAATGTATTATTAATTGTAATTATTTTATTATTTAGTACTTCAATTAGAAAGCAGCAATTAATCTTTTAATCATCGTATATAGTTAAGCATAGTAATCAAATAAATTAGTACCGGATTACTTTTCCTTTATGAATAGACTTGTTTTTTTGTGGGATGGATTAGTTCTATTGTGTTATCTAATAAGTTTCACATGTAAAAAAATTGCAGCCTGTATCATATAAAATATATTTATAGTTTAATATTGTAGTAATTTCAAGTTTTTAGATAAGCTTTAATAATATAATATTAAATGGTTGAAAAACTCAGTTAATTCACGTCGAGCATGATTGAAATACATTACACTTGATAATCAATATATCGATTTAGTCTTGCAAAATTGGCAATACACTTTACGGTGGGATACTAAATAAAGAGAAGTTTATGTCATATAATCTTTTCTTTGAAGTTTAAATATAAAGAGTAGCACTATAGACATAATGACCGATCTGGGTATGGTTTAAAAAACTGATGACGGCATGCACACTTCCGTTTCGGTGACCAAGTTCTTTACCAAGGCGATAATGACGTCCGGTGTGTAAGATATTAGGATAATACTATACGTAATTTCTATATTGTTTTTATTATTCATAGGCGATAAAGAAATTCCAAGTAAAAGATACTAAAGGAATAGTTGTTGTAAATATTATGTATATAATAATTTGTATGGTAAGATATTGAGCTTTACGAAAATAATATTATGATAGGATAGATAAATAAAAATTACCAAGGTAAAAATATTAATTAGTCTTAATAGATTAAAATAATAGCAGTTTTGTAGTAGTAAACATTACTTTAGTTAAAAGTAAGAGTTTAGTGTTAATGAAAATATTTAAACGTTTTTTTTTTTTATGTTCATGTAAACATTCTAAAGATAATTAACAAGCTATTTTTTTAACGTAGAGTAAGTAGTAATAAAATATATTTTAATTGTAGTAGCTAGGCTTATATTTATGCCAAGACCTGTAATTATTTTAGGCGTTTAATAAAATAAACAACAATAAAAAACGCTTAATTTAGGGTTATGTTAGATTATGCACAAGAATAAAACGAGAACTTTTTCATTTTTCCCAGATGGTTTGTATAATCATTGTAAAATAATAAAAATAAGCTTTTCTCTTTTGCTGGAGAATGCAGAAAAACATTTCAATAAGTTTGCTTACATTTTAATTGTATTTGATAGTAAATCATATAAAAAAAACATTAATTAAAACTCTTAAAAATTATTATATCTATACAAGTATCTCCATAAAATCTAATATCAACTAAATTGTAAACAATTATATGAAGAACGCGTTTTATATTCTGAAAAATTAACTACAAGTTATCTTATTATGTCGATTATTTTGTCAAATATATAATCAAGCAAATAATTTTGACTTTAAATACATCATATTTGATTACTTAGAAGAATTAATTTTTTATAAGAGAAAATTTTACAGAAGTTTTCATTATATACATAATGGTTTACATTACACTATGGTGATAATAACAATTGATTATAATACGATTTTTGGTAGGTATTTTTATGGAATAATGTTAAGCATTGAAAACTTTGGTCGGCTAGTTGCTCTAGTTAAACTGAACGCGAGGTCTTTGATATAGTTTCTTAGTTTGCTTTGACCGAGCGTGATGTAATTGCAATAGTTTTAATGTATGCAATATAAATATCACTGGGCAGATTGGGAGAAAGGTGCAAAAAGATGACGATTTATCTTGGAAGATGTCCGTGGGTGGAAGATGTGGCATATATTTTATAAATCATTTGAGCCTGGTACCATTTGCGTGTATAGTCTTACGCAATGTGGTCACGTTCATTTGTTGATTTGCATTGAATCGTAAAAATGACTTGACGACAGCAAACGTCACACGGTCGTCATTAACGAGCCTCCTATGATTATGGGTTTTGGAGATAAACAATAAAAGTCCTTCATATCATAACCGCAAAATAGATAATTTCGACGTGGGCTATTCATCAAAAAGGTAATAGAATAATCTAATTGGACTCATCAAGTAGCTGACAAATTGTGAAGCGTCTGTGATACAACTGAAAAGTGAAACACGTTTGCGCATATCCTTCGTAAATCAA